GCAGCCAAATAAAATTATGGCATTCCAATCAATACCAAACATTACAGAGTTTGGTCAGACGACAGGATAGATACAGAAACTAATTAGTTTTGGTAAAATCAGGTTAAAGATCCCGTATGTTGTAACTTAGGTTTTTTATCACACATAAGTGCAATTTTATATATGTATACATTTATGCTTCTAAAACAATTTTCAAACATCGAATATTGTGTAAAATGTGTACTGATATTATATGTAAAATATTTGCATTCAATTCTTCTTGAAAAAAATGACTTAGCCTTAATAGAAAATGAATTTCAAATTGCCTTCATTTATTAACATGAAAATGTAAATTCAGTAAGATCTTTACAAATAATGCTTTTTGGGAACTTTTGGAATATTGAAAAATCTTCATTTAAGCATTATATTTATGATATAAAATCATAAAAAATTGAGTAACAGGATCTTTAAGGCTTAATTTTGTATCTACTCAATGTAAATAGTAACTTGCTAATTCAAACATAAAATAGACCTTACAGATAACAACCAATACAGAAGTAAAATGTGAACAACAGTGTATCAAACATCATATCAGTGGTGAGAAATAACTTGTTCTTTCTCCGAGAAAATATAATTTTTAGACATTTCTAAAAGCATTTCATTCAAACCTTTCTTCACTATAAGTGGTATATACTTGTATTAAACCTCAGTAAAACACATGACAAATGATATATCAAAAATCGATAAAAAGCAATACATTATCACGAGTTTACATTTTTTTTACCATTCATCAACACAAAATACGAGTAGTGTATAAGTGGTTAATTTTGCGACGTGGAAAAATATATGCGATCTTTGCGAATTGAAATTATGTGTGTTAATAGGTTATAAATATAACAAAAGATGTTTTAAAATATGACAAAGAAATGTGTGATCAGGTCCTTTATCAAATAAAACTAACAATGCATATTTCAAATAATTATATGAACAATTAAGATGTTAAACTACTTAAAAACGGTATAAAAGATAATCTATGCTCATCTTATGATGAAATAATTTCATTGCAGAAACATCTTGAAGTACAGTAAATTTTTCCTGAATATAATTAATATCGGTATGTTTATGTATAAACTTTGTCTTGGAAATAAATTCCCTATTACTTGTCAAATTAATTAGGTCTATTTTTAAAAAAACTGCAAGTTTTTTATTGACACTATGTAATTATTATGTGATAACGTGTACTGTGTAGAGTTTAAAACGTAAACGTAACATATCTTCTCTGTGTGTATCCAAAAGATGTTTATTTTACATTTCAAAAGAGACTGAAAAGTAATTATCAGTTTTTATCAAATATGAAATTATGAGATTATAGCATATTAGCAATAGAAGTTAAGTGAGCTTACTTGTTAGCATATAGAGAGGCGTCTATTGCTCAAAAAAATTGTAGAGAAATTAAACTTGACCTGTGCTTAGACAAACATACATGCACATTAAATATAAACTCAAAAAAAATCCTTCAACAATATTTATGCGAAAACAAATAATTTGCTTACAAAGGGATATAACTATATGAAAAATACTTTGTTGTATCGAAAACCAAATTTATCTTGATATTGATAACCTACATTTATATCAAATATAAACACAATCATTGGAATCCGTCAAAACTTATCCCGTGGGTACCAGTATTTGTTTGATTCCATAGAAACTTGCAAAAATAGAAAAAGTGTTCTTGTTATATTGTAATTCAATTGTATAAATATCAATACAAACACGGTATCTATTTATTATTCTATCACTTACGTTTCGGCCAAAGCCTTTCATTAAATCAGGAAGTGGCGTAACGCCCAGAGGCATGACTGAACGTGATGTCGATTTCAACGGAAAACATATCCGGGAAAGCATTCAAACATGTTACAATGTGATAAAATATAAATGTATAAATCGGCAAATATTCCATCGATAAAATGTCAGCGAGAAAATAATAGCCAGATGTAAGATACAACATAATGAAATAAATGACAGTTAACATAGACATGATATATTACATCATGCAATATTTATAAATCTATGCCTTCATGCATAATATTAAGTTTGTGAATCAAATATGTTTCTCCACGTGATCTGCTTATATAGCACTTAACTTTATAAATAGGCATAAATGAAAAATCTGCTAAAATTTTATAAATTGAGTTGCAACATTAGAATAGTAAGATGGCTTAAACATCTTTATGTCAAATATGTGACTATTCATTCCCTTGAAGTTTTATAAACATGCTGCAGCTTACATTTCTTACATGTTATACGATTTATATACTTTTATAACTTGAAGGTACAATCTTAACAAATATTTCATTTCCTTCAACACTATTTTACAACCCGTGCATCTACGTCTAATACATGTATAATTATTATTTTCTAAGTAATGAAGTTTTATATAAAAAAGAATGATCATACATTTTTCCTAACTCAATTTTGACAAACAATAGTTAAAACATATTTATTGTTGTAATTTTTCTAAATTTATAAATGTTTCAAAAATTTATGGCAGAATTTTTGAAATGTTTGATTTAAAACAAGCATTTTGACTGAATATATATTCTATAATAATATGTTATTTTGTCAATCGAATTTATTTGGTTAAAGATGAATTTGAAATTGATTATGTCAGCAAAGATAGAATGTGAAGCTTTATTGCCATAATATTTAAAACATGAAAAAAAGAAACAATACAATGATTAAGTAATTCATTTAATGTAAGCATCTGATCCAACGATTTTACTCGTGGCGACCATTAGATATTTTTCTTTTCTTAAGGATTTGAAAATCGTGATATTGAGAGGAAAATTCGTTTGTGCTATAAACAAATCTTAAATAAGAAACAATAACAAAAACGACAAAAAGGTTATATGTTCAACATAATATTTTATCAAAACTTATGTTGAGGTGGGTAAATATTTGTCGGACTTGAACAGTGACTTTTAGCGAGATATAAATCAGTTACAAATTACTCTAAATAAACATTGACCTCTACAAAATAATGCGACTGTATAATAATGAATTATGCTACGTTACAATACGCGCTAGCTAGGTACATACGCAAAAAATCTTTACATCAAAATAAGCGATTCACAACAAAATCATCACAAATAAGATTGCTCGACAAGAAATGTTTTTCCAAAATGTTCGAAGTTTGAAGCTTATAAAAAGTAATTGAAACGCCCTCGTTCTTAAGAAAGAGTAGCCTGGGTTCGAGTCTGTCGATATGTTTTTAAGTTTCTGTTTGGCAAATCAACACACGAATACGGAATAGTGCATTTGTTATGAATAAAGTAAAATAAGTATTAAAATAACCTGAAACTATCAACGCCTGAATCCCAGGCTAAAGAGAAACAGTAGGGAAAATAAAAAAAAGAAACAACAAAACAAAATCTGGACCATGTCTTGCGAGATTTCAATTTTCCGCGCTGTCATAGCAAATGAAAAACCTAAGAAATTGATTACAACATAATCATAGCATGTAATGTTAGAGTAAATTTCTGGTTACCTTAAGGAGATATAATTAGGTTTTGCCCAGAACTTGCCCTTCTTTATTTTAAAATAGTTATACCAAAATATTATCACAGCGAACACTGTTATAAGGAATTATTGCTTATAACAAAGTTAATATTTAACCCCAATGGACAAACAAAAACTAACAACAGGACAACCTTTTAATTAAGTCTGTTAGTTCTATGTTTGTTTTCACTGGCATGCGTTAAAAGTTGGTTAAATGAATTTGCCTTTTAATACAAATTTTTAGACGCATAGTTTCATAACCTATTATGTCATTTGTCACTTATATTTTTAAATTTTAATAACCCCTTTTACAACGACAAGTAACTTTGACAAGCATGTATTTAAAGTTGCTTGAATCTATTTATATTTTTTTAAATAGGAATTTTTTAAACATATAGTTGTATTAACCTATAACTATTATGCAATATGTCACTGATATTTGCAAAATTTAATCAATTGAACTATAAGACACATTTTGAGATGTATAACTTAAAAGTAATGTAAATGTATAGACAACTTATGGTTAATAACATATAAGAAACCCAAGACTGATATTTATCTATACATATCATGCACACTTAAATATGTATAATTAGTTTAAAAATAGTGGCTTTGTTTTATAAATACATTTTGTACATCATGTGGGTCATATAAAAACATAACTGTCGAATTATTTAACGTGTGTTTTTATGTAAGACAATTTAACGAAAATGAGATAGCAACAACAAACAGGTGTCCGTTAGTATCCATAGTGTACACATGATAGTTTCCCGGTATCAGATTCAATTATAAAAATCATTGTCATTGTGTTTACAAGCAAACTAATTATGTTCCAATATAGCTAGAACTGTATATATTATTGCTTGTATTAGTTTACTTGTTTATATATATATATATACTCAATATGTCAAAACAAAGGACAAACGATACATGATACTTTTATCACATTAGTTGCTGCACTTGTTGAATTCCCAATTCCCAGTCTGTTTTTTTCCTGTTATGAATTTTTCCCCTTTCTGACCCCCCAAATAGGGAAAGTAACCCACTTTGGGATCTTTAAAAAAATTTGTAACAGAAAGTGGGCATTACTTTAATAAATTTTAATGGTCCCCCAAACCTACGAATATCCCTAAAAGGAAAGTATTTTTGTAGTATAATGCCCAAATTTAAAATTTTTAAATTTCCGTATTTTTTTCGTCAAAAAAATTAAAGATGACTCCTAAAAATAGAAATACATGAAAAACTTTAAAATTCAATTCTTTTGGGTTTTATTTCAGTTTGAAAAAAAAACACAAGAAAAAAGTTTATTTAATTAAAGTTTAAAAATTTAAATTGATAACAACTATCTTTTTCTTTAGTTCACAAAATAACAGTTTTCACACTCCTGAGCTATTATGTCACTCATATTTAGATATGGATGGAAGGTAGATATTGAAATTTAATAAACGAAATAGTTAACATACATTCAGAGATATGTGATTGTTTATCTTGTGTAGATGCAATTTGCTCAACAATGTTCATCACTTCATCCCATTCAATGATAAGTGACTTCGTTGATTTCATAGCTTGTAAAAGAGTATTGACTGTGGCATTTTCTTGCTGCTTATCTTTCCATTTCAACAACATTTTGTAGATCCTGACACTGCAAGTGTCATGGTCCATTGATATTTGATTGATTTCGGCAATGCTCAAACCAAGTTCACTTCCAAGGAGTTCCCAGTTACTACCAATTGATTGTGCTATTTTGCTCAATTGTTTCTCATTAAACTGACAGTCGTCTGTAAGCCCTATCGTAGAAATTTCTTCAAACCATTCGGAAAGTGCCTGCTGAGCGTGTATTTCGTGATTGAGTGGCATATCAAGGCAGGGTTCAATGCTTTTACCTTTAAGGTTTTCCAAATGCAAGATTTCCTGACTTCCATTTAGACCATGACTTTCATTGTTGCAGCTAAAACATGTCTGGAACGGCTTACCTTGAAGTGTGGATGAATCCCGCAGTTTATTGAATTCACTGATGACCACTGACTCTGCAAAGCGTCTGAACTTGTCTGCTGTAATGTTGTTAACATTTCGAGATGTGCAAAGGCTAATGACACGCATCCCAATTCTGTTCTGTTGTAGTTCAACAGCTCCAGCATTTTGGCTGTCCAATCTAAAGATTCCTAAATTTTCATACAGCATGAATTCCTTTCTTTGTTTTGATACTCCTATTTGGACAACTGGCCACCTTGCTACCATAGCGGCAATAAGACGACAGTATACAATTTGTACAACAGGGGAGTATTGAAATGCCATCAGAAACCTTAACGATGTCTGCTTCTTTCCTGTAAGGAACTCTTTAAGTGTCTTGTTATCACTGTGGTTCCGTAGAAAAATAGGGACAATATACCATCCGAGAGGATGACATTTCCCAGTTTTCTCGTCGAAACCTGAAACTTCAGATATAATATAATGCCTCTGCATAAACATCAAAATTTCATTCTTAAATTTGGATAACTCACTATTGGAATCAAAACATTTCTCAATTAGCTCTTTTGTCAGTTTTGCTTCGTTTTGTAAAAGCTTCCAAAGGCTGCGATATTGTGGTTCTTTTCTGAAAAATCTCTCTGATGTCACAATACACCTGAACGCATCAATGAGAAATTGTGTATCAAGTACAACGTATCGTGATATTGGTTCTTCGTCAAAGAAAAACAATGTGCCTTTCCTATGGTGATATAGTAGGAACAACTTGATTTCTTCTTCTTCCTTTAGCGGAAAGTCATTTTGTGAATCGATTTCAACCACTTTGCTAAATGGAATTATCTTCTTGTATCTTATCTGTACTAATTCTTTTTCAAGAGCAATCCATCTTGCAGGAACTTTGAGTTTAGAATGTTCTCTAATATGTATTATTGCCTTTCGCAGTTCTTTAATTTCCTTATCGTCGGGATCAGTGCTATTGACAACAAAATCTTTTGTATGAATATGATTGAGAACAGGTGTGTTTTCAAAAAATGTTCTTATTTTTTCAAAATATTCTTCTGCATATTGTTTCTTTTCATTTTCTGTTCCATCTAATTTATCTTTATGCGTTCCGACAAGAATAACCGGCGGATTTGAACCGTCGTTTGACCCGACATATGAATGAATGGAGTTCATCCAAAACTTAATGAAATGTTCCATTGTTCTGTCACCTGTTTCCATAGGATATTCAGTATCTAATACGACCATCGACAATGGTTTTGATAAGTCAAAAACCAATAAATACACAGCACGATTGCTGTGGAATATGGTGTGAGTAGCATAGAAGACAAACTGGCCACCAAAATCCCATATATCAAAATTTCCATCTACACCGCGCGCAAATTGTCTAGATGTCAGGAGAGTCAAAAATTTCTGTGCTTCTTCTGGTGTCAAAGACGATTTTGTATTTTTTCTAGTATTATCCGTGCTTTCCGCTTGTGTTTTTCTATACAAAATTCGTGATGCACTGTCAATAACTTCTTTATTTTCAGACTGTGATGCGCGTTCTAAAGAACGTCCAGTATTCTCTGTTGGCTCCTCATTCTTAGCGACTTCAGCAATGCGACCGATAATGTCCATATCATGTGGCGTTGTTGTTTGGAATAACATCACATCACCATTTACTTCAAAATATTTGCAGTGATTTATGTCTACTCCATTTGTACTTTGAACAGTCCGACACGTCTTTCCAATAAGTGATTGTGTTAAGGAGGTTTTCCCTTGTGCAAAGTTTCCAACTACGTTCACCCTTACACTGTTATCTGTTTCAAAACCTCTAGAGAGTACACTTTGATAAAACTTAATGTGTAAAGGGTTATTTCCAATATCACGCTCCTCGTCTATTTGGAAAAGTAAGACGTGAAACATTTTAATACTGTTATTTTGAAACTATTTTAACAGAAAATTTTAAAAGCATACCATTATAATTATTGTATTTGAATCAAGTATTCATATCGTAACAAGTACGTACAACTTTAAAATTTAACTATTGTAATTTTAACAAACTTTTACAGAAAGTATATTTATCGAAACCAGTGAGACTTTAACATTTGTCTACATGTCTAATTTTAAAACTCTCTATACATAATATATTTTAGCATTATCAAAATTGTATTTAAATCAATTATATAAAACTAAACATGAACCATCGCTGGACGGGGCAACGTAATGTTCAATGTTCAAATTTACACCTAAAATACTGCCGATGATCTAAATTTCACAGGTATAGATTCAAGGACAAGAAAGTAGGTCACTTCATCAACATCAAGATCATGTATCAAATATCAATTTTGCATAAAAAAAAATTGTGCATTTGATCTATTTTTATATTTTTATAGATGTTAATCAACGGACAAGACAGTACGTCACTTCGTCGAAATTTAGCCCGGCTGATATCAAAATTAAATTTAACATTTAAAACTGATCACATGGTCTAAATTTCAAAGCTGTACATCAACGGACAAGAAAGACAGTAAGTCATTTCGTCAAATTATATATGTCAGCTGATATCAAAGTTCAAAAGTATGCCACTTTTTGAAAATCTAGGTCATATGATAATAAAGTTTAATTTTACATTTAAATATGTGCACACGGTCCAAATTTAATTATTACAAGAAAAATAGAAGAACTTTATTAATTTAACCTTGACGGTCAAAGTCGATTAAAGGTCAAAGTCACATATAAATTATCCAATATCATTGTTTGGTAGAAAGTATTGTTTTGTCCGAGTATAAATCAAATCCGTACTTAAATTAGAAAAAAATAATAATGACAAGTCAAATTCAATTATTATATATTGGAAGTCAAGGTCATTTAAAGTCACATGACTGAACAAAACCACTTTTTATTCTTCGAAAACAGTCGAGCTAATTAAAATGAATAGTTCAGGAGACTTATTTGTCTAGGAAATGTTCTTCTTCTATTCATATTTATCATACAAACCCAGAGTCCCAGGATAAGGCAACATCAAGGCCTTTAATTTTGCCAGATATTGATCTTCAATTTCAAAGTCATATGAAATTAAAGATGCATTTAATGTGACCGAGAATTGTAGTATTTCAACACACAGGAAAATAGTTGTTTATGTAACATGCAACGAAAACAACCATAAAACACAAGATTGTGAACCCATCGTCTTGTAGTTTAGATTTGGACCTCTATTCGTCGGTTTTGTTGAATAAAAAGAGTCTAACGAAACGATTTAACGGGGAAGGTATGATTTATCTACTCATTGCAAATGAAGTTTGAAGAAGATAGCAAACTTAATATGAAGAAAATACACCTATTAATTTTGTTCACCCGTTTTTGTATACAGTTTTTGTCAAGCTTAATATATGTCATATGCCTAAGCTTCAGTTTTCAGCGTGACAAATTAACAACTAATCTTATTAAAGCTGAATAATTTCTTACATGATTTTTTACTTTTATTACTTGACAACAGAAACAATATTCTGATTTCAGAAATTAAAAAAGAGATTTAGATGGCTTGTTTTAGGGTTAATCTTAATTAAAATTATCATCAATAAATATGTCTCCAAAATGAAACATAATTGAGTTACATTATAATAAGCTTACCTCAAAATAAAGTCAAAAACAAAACTTAAAAAGGTTGTGCTAAAACTATTATTTATTAGCAATAAAGATACTTCATGCTACCTAGTGCCTTGGGGGTAAAGAATATTTATGATTATAATACATTTACATGCACAATGTTAGTCCGGACGAATAGCGTGTAATACGTTGGAAAATTAAGCCATTAAATATGGCTTCGAACAAGGTAATGAAACACATAATGTGAACATCTTAGTAATAACTATTGGCATTATTGGCATTATTGGATTATGCCGAACACATATTGATTGTTAACGTCGTTAGGACCAGTGCCTTGCCCAATGGGAAATACGGCGTTCAGACGTTCAGACTGTCACTATGATTAACTGGTTTTTTTTTTTAAACGGACATTGCTTAATATTTGAACAAATAAAAATAAATAAGATTACATGAGCATATAATGCACAATAAGGATAACTGTGATACTAATATCTCTTTTATTGGTGAGTGCACTGGAAAAGATGACAATGATTATGAATTATGCCATAATTGTTTTAATTCACTTTTTTGTTACAGATAAAAAATCAATTGTACACGTCACCGAAATGAACTTCTAAAAATAACCTTTGTAAGTTGTTGGCAACGATACTTTGATGAGAAAAGTTGGCAGTATTTTCATATGTTGAGCAGCTTTTTATATTTTATCTAATTATTTGTCACTATTAACTTCTGGTCACTCCCAATCATAATAGTTAATCTTATAGTTAATTCAAATCACACTGACAACGAAAAAATGACAATAATGTCCCTTAAAGTAGATAGATCTGATCAAGTGCATCTGGGTTGCTGAAAATATTCCCGGGATAATTAATGCTTATATATGTGTTACAAACAGTGTGATTTGTGTCCGTATTATACAAATCAAACAGCTTGCAAATTTGTCATTTTTAAATCAAATATTTAATGTAAATGTTAAAATCATCTTGAAAATGTTTCAGCATTTTAGTTTTGAAAATGCACCTATGCAAACACATTGTCGAATGGCAAGGCAGTCGAAGTATGTAATGACTTTTATCGTTATTAAAAAAATATCGGAATACCGAAATGTTGTGATACCATTAATAGTTGCATATGTTTAAAATCATAATAATGATGTTATCACATGTACCCATTGCAATATAGACTAAAACTCGAATGAGTCAAAAAATTGTAGAGTATATAATAATAAGATACTTACCAGGGCTCAAGATAACAACTTGGTCCTGAAGTCAAACAATTTTACGTTCTATTTAAAAGATACATGATACATGACAGACTTAGCCCGAAATATTCTATTTCAAACACAAATATTGATGCAAACTTCTTAAAGTAAAGGCATTGATCCATAAAGCAAATATTGTCACTTATTGAACAAACATGTGTTTGACCGTATAGTAGGAACAGGAAGTATGTCTGGTAACTAAAATTGCTTAAAACTGAAATCCAAGGGTTCTTTTAAGATATGTCAGGTGTGAATGTTTCCATTGGAAACTGTTACCCTTAGTCCAGTCGTTTTAAATTGTTAAATGAAAAAGAATTGAAAGAGCGTTTTACAATGCTTTCTTGCATTTTCTTTCAATCCAAATTCCTGCTTATGATTCACCTGTATACCATGTTTACTATAACTAAAACTTACGAGTTAATAAACAGAAGTTGCACATCGATTATCTAGATAATGTCAACGCATATGATTTAACGTGACTATATTTTTTTTTGAATATGATGGCATAAAAAGGTTTGTTGTTGCTTTTTGTTGTTGCTGTTGTTGTTTTGTTGCTTTCTTGTCTTCGTTGCTTTGTTTTTTTTGTTTTTTTTTATAAGTCACAATGTATAATATATATTTGATTATCTTCACAATATACATCAGAATTTATGACGTTGACTGCATAGTGAGCCAATTATTGCGCTTTATGTAAAATTTTATCATAGTTTTCAAATGTTACTTTTACAAAAGAAAGGTACCTTTTATAATTGATAAAACTATCAACAAGATATCCAAGATAAATTTATCGGGAACATGTCGCTAAATTTCTATACCCCGTATTGCTCTTTTAATACCGTAAAAAGATAGTATAAAAATCGATACTTATTAACGCAGAGTGGAATACTCGTTAAATGTCACATATAGAAATCGTAATTGTTCAGTGCTAACTCATGATTGATTTAAACTTATACGTTTATAAGACAGTTTTTAATTGGAAAAAATGAATGATAATCAAAAAGTTTCCATCAAATTTTGTATATTTAGAAAGGGGAAACAACTTATGCGGATGTTTTAAAATTCTAAATTTAGCAGTTCATGTTAAGTGTTGAATTCTGCTTAAGCCGGTGCTGAGGGGGCGTGGACGGTAGTTTGCACTTGGCAGTACCGTCCATGAACAGGCTCAATCAAACCGAGCCTGCAACATTTCTAATTTTACCTCGTTTGGCTTTCTTTAGGCATTCTTATTTTATTCTATTGAATAAACAATGATCGAAATAATGATCTATACTAAAACAAAATATGTTTCTTACATTTTGTGTCATTTGTGACCACTGTTTTGACAAATAAGAAAGTACTTACAACATATTTAATGAAGTTTTACATGTTTATATATGAATTGGTACTGATCAGAGTGTTGTTTTACCTCCGTATGATTTGTCCGGTTTTTAAGTAGATTTACTTGGTCGAAGCTTTCTTTAATGCTTTACTTATATACATTTCTTATTTAAATATCCTTATTAAAACATTAAGTAAATGTAACGCCACGCATATTGTAATCTTCGAATTTTGAATCTTGTATGGCTATAAAGCTGTAGACTACTTTATAACTATATATTTAATACCATCTACTTCCTCAGAATCCCACGTCCATCAATTCTTCTATTTTTTTTAAAAGATGTTTGACTTAATTTTAGAACTTATACTGATTAAGTGAAATAACTAGATTATAAATATCTAGAAACAAAGAGCAGATTACCTATAAAACTTTAATATGATCTGTTATTATTATCAAGATTGTCTTTATAGTTTTCTACATAAGAGATAACATGTATTAACATCCTAACAGATTTGAAGAAACAATACGATTAATCTCTGATGTGATGAACATTTACTATGCTCTAAGATTAATTTCACGTTTTACCTAATATGTGATTTTCTAAACTCAAGATGAATTAATCAATGCACTTTAATCTTAAAAATTGGTTCATTGTTGCATATAAATCATTTCCTATTATTTTATATCTTAAATTTAAAAGTTCTTTAATGATATAATAACAAAGTCCATATCTTTGGT